ACTCAAAACCTTTCCAACATAACACACACAGTCACACAAATGTTATGTTTTGTCACTCTGTACATTTTTGTATGTTTTCAAATTCAATATAGTGTCATTAAAAAGAAATCTAAAAAAAAAATCAGCTGAACTCACTGATCACATTGTTCTGAGAACCATCCCAATGGGCGTGGTCTAATATTCTAATGAGCATAGTTGATTGACGGCTCTCTGTCTGCGACTTCACCTGCGATGTCAGTGAGTAGCGGATTGTTCAACCTCCATGTAGCAGCCACCCAATTACAAAGTTATACAATACGTATACATGTTAGGTTAGCTTTTTTTTTTCTTTCTTTTCTTTTTTTTTTTTTTTTTTGCAAGGTCACTCAGATACACAGTGGGTTCCTGAAAACCTTTTAACCAATTACACTCATGAATCTAAGAAATCGTAAACCTGTAGCTGTATCTTCACTGGATTGGGATGCGTCCCACCCACCTGACAATGGGCAGCTTGGTCAAGGGCACCGGGGCCAGTTTGAGTCCGTCTGGAAGTGTGATGACGTTCATCCCTCCAGGACACTTAGACGTGTAGTTCTCCAGACTCTGCGTCACCTCCTTCTTTTCTGTGGACAGGACGACAAACACAACCAAGGACAAGGGTTAGAAATGGAGACAAACTGCACAGGTAATCAGAGTGATGGTAGCAGCTGTAATGTTTTAATAAAGAACGTGATCACATTAATTAAGGGTGATGTGGTTCAGTTCGTTCGTTTCATACCAAGATGGAAGAAAATGCAGAAAGGTTAACCTTTGCGATTGTTCGTGTGTGTGTGACTGTGTTGATGATATTCATTCTACTCGGTTAATTCTAGTTATTTCCAGCCCAGTCTTAATTATTTTAACCTAAAAAATTTAAAAATGGCCTCAAGTATGAAGGCTGAGCTGCATCTGTTTTGGGTTCTGAGTCATTCTTAAACATTTTTTTGGGAGCAATAAGAATCACTGTGCTTTTGTTTATTCCTATTTTAGCTTTGTCTGGGTACAGCACACACTATAAAAGACCTTTTATTAAAAACAGAGATGCTGTCCTCTGTCTTTTCTAACTGAAAGAAAAAAAAAAAAAAAAACTTTCCACTGCCAATCAGAGATGGCAAAAATCCCGCAATGCAAAAACGAAACACTGAACTTCTTAAGAGCCTCTGGGGGAAATCAGTTTCCTCCTGCTCTCAAGAGGCCATCACCCATGGCGAGATATGAATTTAATGAGGCAAATTATCTGAGCTGCGGTAGATCATGAGCTAGACGGGTTTGATGGGGGGGGGGGGTTTGTGAGACAATCAAAACCGCTTCGAGCTGTGCTGAACAGAAGACCGCTGAGATCCAGCCTCGATTGTGACTAAAGAAGAAGAGTCAGTGGGAGAAAGAGAAGGAAGGAAGGAAGGTCATGTCGCCGTCACTGCAATGGCTCTAGTGTGAATGGTAACTGAATTATATGAGTATAAATTGGTTAATTAGATTGATGTTAATCCATCACTTCCCAAGAAGTCCTTCACATCACTGTAGCATCCAATGGCTCATGTTTCTAGTTTCTCATCTGCATTCTGATCTCTTTTACTCTATATACAGTCCCCTTCGCAAGTATTGATCCGGCAAGGCCAATTCTTTATTTATTTTTTTATTTTTTTTTACTGTACACTTAATACAATTGGGTTTGAGATCAAAAGATGAATATGAAACAACAGACCAAAATTTCAGCATTCATTTCCTGATATTTTTATCTAGATGTGTTAAACAACTTAGAGCATGGCACCTTTTGCTCGAACCCACCCATTTTTTAAGTGATCAAGTGACTGACAGGTGTTTCTTGTTGCCCAGGTGTGCCCTGTTAGATTGACTGTTTAAAGAGCTAATAGCTCTGAATGTTTATTCTTGGTTTGAGCCCTGGGTTTTGCCTGTGTATTTGCTGTTATAAAGGATAAACCAACATGAAGACCAGAGAGCTGCCTATGGGAGAAAAGCAAGCAATTCTGAAGCTGAGAAAAGAGGGAAAATTGATCAGAGCCTTCACAAAAGCATTGCCAATACAACAATTTGGAATGTCCTGAAAAAAAAATAATAAACCACTGGTGTACTAACAACCAGACACGGAACAGGACAGTCAAGGAAATCAACAGCAGTTTATAGCGGCAAAATTGTGAGAACTGTGAAGAAAAACCCAAAACCAGCATACAGTGTCATCACCAACAGCCGACACAGGGCAGGGGTGAAGGTATCACAATCCACTGTTCAAAGAAGACTTTGAGAGCAGAAATATAGCGGCCATACCACAAGATGTAAACCACTCATTAGCAATAAGAATCAGAAGGCTAAACCAGAGTTCGCAGAGACATACAGAGATGAGCCACAAAAGCTGTGAAACCAAGATTAACCTCTACCAAAGTGATGGAAAGGTCAAAGTGTGGAGAAAGAAAGGACCTGCTCTTGATCCAAAACATACAAGCTCATCAGTCAAGCATGGTGGAGGTAGTGTCATGGCTCACTAATCTTTCACAACAACCGGCCGTATTGATGTTTTAATGGTGGGAATTAATCTGAGCTTCTATGTCACCTACTACAATACTACACCCTGACTACTACACTACCATATCTACTACTCATTACTACATCTACTACAAATACTATTCCCAGACTACCTCACTACTTTACCCAAGACTACCTCACTACTATTCCTAGACTACCACACCTACTAGTCTAACCTAGTACACTAGTATAACCAGACAATTACAACTACCACTACACTACTATACCCAGACTACCACACCTACTACTACACTAGTATAACCGGACAATTACAACTACCACTACACTACTACACCCAGATTACCACAGCTACAACTACACTATTATACCCTGATTACCACACCTACAACTACATTACTATACCAAGACTACCACACCTACTACTACACTACTATACCCAGACAACTACACCTACTACTACACTACTATAACCAGACTACCACAACAACTACACTACTATACCAAGACTACCACAACAACTACACTACTATACCCAGACTACCACAACGACAACTACACTACTATACCCAGACAACTACACCTACTACTAAACTACTATACCCAGACTACCACTACGACAACTACACTACTATACCCAGACAACTACACTTACTATTACACTATTATACCCAGACTACCACAACGACTACACTACTATACCCAGACTACCACAACGACAACTACACTACTACTATACCCAGACTACTTCACCTACTACACTACTATAGCAAGACTACTACCCCTACTACAACACTGTTACACCTGATACAGCGCTACTATACCCAGAATACTACTACTACAGTACAACTTGTACTATACTATTACACCGAGAGTACTGATGTAGCTCTGACGTCTGAGCTAAAGAGGGGATCAGCCATTCACATCTAGTCTAAACAACATCCTAATACTCTGCAAAGGTCAGAAACAGAATTAAAACATATTGCTGACCAAACATGATGCTTTCCATTTCCCAGTCAGGAGAAGGGCAGGATCCTGATATAGCCCTTGATAGAATCTCCTCCTCTAACACTGGGGTAGAGATAGAGAGCTGGAGCTCAGCTGACACACGCCATTTACACAAAGCCTTAAGAAATAAGACGAAGGAGATCTGCTGAATCAATAACTCTCATTTTCTTTCCCTGCTTTGGCAAGGTGCAGTGACAGCGGACTGGGAACGGGACAAAAGAGGATGTGATCTAACAGGGCACATGGTATTGATTCTCATTTTTCAGAGATTAAAGATGAAAAATATATCTCATGCCAAAACGAGTCAGTGCTGTCAGAGGCTCGGCCAGGCTGGAAGATACGATGCCTTAAGGGGCTTTTCCATCAAATAAGATTCATTTTACAAATAAGTTTACTGCCGGAGAGCAACACAAACAGGAATCTGTGTGTGTGTGTGTGTGAGTATTTCCGAGTTGCAGGCAGGTCCTCCAGAAAGCCATTCAGTTTTTATATGACACTGTATATGACTGGAGATTAAAGCAATATCAATAAGAAATGATCCACGTTGCTATCTCAGTTATAAAGCTCAGTGATTATCTGAAATCTGGGCTCAGTGTGAAATGCACTATTTAAGTTGAACTGGTGAAGTGGTATATTCTTACATCTCTATATCAGCATTATGATTTTACTGTTTTATTTTAGACTATTAGGGAAAGAAAGAAAAAAAAAATAGACAGAGAAAAAAAGTATTTGGACACCACAAATTACCAGCATGGGTACTTTGATGCAAAGCTGTTGCTGGAGATTATAGCCTCAAGACATCTGTGATGAGAAGTAATTAACTTTTTGCAGCATTGCGGTACAATTTTGGCCTGTTCCTGTTTGCAAATTGTCTTCAATTCCCCAAGGTTACGAGGGTTGGCTATAGGTTTGGGGTTAATGTCTTGGTGAAACATCCATCTTCTCCCCAGACTCCTGGTCGATGAGGTTAAATTCTCCTTTAATATGTCCTGGTACATTGCTTCATTCATGTTCCCCTCAATGATGTCTAATGCCTTAGTATCATTTGCACAGAAGCAGCTGCATATCGCGATGCTCCCATCACCATGTTTCACTATGGGTATGGTGTTCTTGGGATCATATGCACAACCCCTGTTTCTTCGAACATGACAAGCTGAATTATTGCCTCTTACCTTATCATTAGTCTTGGAGCATGTTGTGAAATCTTGCATGGCGCACCTGTCCAGGGACAATTAGTTGTGGTTCCATGAACATCCCACCTGCATATTATTGAACCAATTGCACTGACAGGGATGTTTAAAAAGTCCTTGCTATGGCTCTGTAGTTTTTTCCATTCAAGTGTTGTTTAATAATGTTGTCTCTGAGAACTTTAGGAAGCTTCTTCACCTTCACCATGATTGTGACTTGTGGAGTGAAATCTCCTCAATCACTGTCAATGTATTTTATAATGATAGAATAAGTGCAGGAATGGTGGGTCCCTGGAGGACCAGTGGTTAGGCCTGGGCGCTCTCATCGCCATGGCCTTGGCTCGATTCCCGGCCAAGGAAGGCGTAAACACTGTGCCAAATCAAATATGCATATCAATGACCTGCTGTGGCAACCCCTAAGGGGAGCAGCCAAAAGAACAACAACAACAACAACAACAACAACCACCACCATGAGTGCAGTAATGGAAGGCTGAATGAGAGCGTGTTTATGTCCTGTTCCGGTCTGCAGAGTGAAAGTGTACAGTGCTGCTGAAACTCCAGCGCTCCCATTAGCCACTCTGTTCTCCTGGTTATTGTCCAGCAGGCCAAAGCTCTGATAACCGGCTCCATTAACCAGTGGCTTATCGTTCAGCCAGAGAAGAGAAAACAACCCAAAACACAGAGCAGGCAATTATTTCACTTTACCCACCATGTGCCTGTACAGCCCTGAGCTGCCCACCTCACCACATCACAACACAAACACATCCACCTTCCTCCTCGATTACACAGCTACCTGGGGCTTTCTCTAAAGCTCTTCTCTCCTCCAATCTTTCCTGCACTCTGGAAAACAACAATACAACAGCAGCACAGTAATTGAGGTCACGTCCTCAGATGGTATTTGCAGCTCAGGTGAAGTCAATTAGGCGGAAAAAAAAAAAACTCAGATAAAAATCGTCTCCCTCTTTCTGTAAGTGCTGAGGCACACAGCAGTTATTTTTCTTTCTTTCATGGGAGAGGATTTACAGCCCACCTTATCAAACTCAACACTGAAAAAAAACAACCACTCCGTACACACATGAACTGCCTGGTCATTAAAGGAACAGTTCGAAAAATATATATTACACGATTTTCCCCTCGGCCTAGACATGTCGGCTGTGCGGTGTGCGCTTCCCTAAAAATCCACACAGAATAACAAAGAAAAAAAGAAAGACAGACGGTAGGTGAAGAAAGAAAAAAAGTCCAAAAGAAGAGACATCAAGGGACAGACAGACAGAAACCTAGGGAAAAAAAGGAAATGAAGGAAAGAAGGAAAGGAAGGAAGAAAAGATGGAAAGGACAGAAGGAAAAAAGGAAAAGAAAGGAAGGGAGGAAAGGAGAGAGGGAGGAAAGTAAATGGAAGGAAGGGAGAAAAGACAGAAGGAAGGAAGAACGTCAAAAGAAAGATCAACAGAAAAAAGAAAACCGAAAGAAAGATCAAAACAGAAAATCCAAAGAAAATTTTAAAGAACTTTTCTTTTTTAGCAGTTTCTATCAGATGCCCTTCATTTTTAGACTTTTTTTTATTTTATTTTAAATATGTTAATATATAATTTTAATATTTAAAATATAAGAACCGAAGTAACTGAAGGTAGAAAGAAAAAAAGAAAGAAAAAAGTTTACGTTTATGAAAAATTCTTGAATGTCAACAAAAAAACAAAGAAACTAAATGTTTGATTTTTTTTTATTTCAGTTTTGTTGATTTATTTCAGTCTAATTCAGTCCTTGAGTTAATAAAAAAATGACAAAACACATTCTGCCATTTAAAACAATGGACACACTAGATTAAATATGCATATACTTAGATGGCTTAATAATCTATTTTAATAATGGCTTTTGGATGAAATGAGCAAATAGTGAAGTTAATGCCTGTATTTATTATTTATTTCAATAAAAAAATAGAAGACCTTCTATGAGCAGGGGTGTACAAACTTTTGACTGCTGGTGTTTGTTTTCTGTAAACTAATAAAACAAAAGTGCTGTAAGCGCTATTGTAAAGCATGGCGCGCGTGCGCACACACACACACACACACACACACAAAATACCGTAATGCCATTTTATGCTATTAACATACCAATGGAAGTCCGTCTGATTTAAGAACATTAGCAGCTAGCTACAATTTTCTCAACGTTTAAAAACAAGCCGGCGTTCAGCTCGCTCTTTTGAAATGATGCTCGGCGTAATTACTGTGGCAGAATAATCAGTCAGTTTGCATTGCCATGATTACAACTTCTCTAATGTGTCTAAGCTGTGCTTTTCTCATTTCGAGAGAAAAAAGGAAGACATTTAGAGAGACTCTCGAAACAATTTAACAGCCTTAGTGATGCCTCTTTACTGACGCCCTCGGGGAGGATGGAGAGAGAGAGAGAGAGAGAGAGAGAGAGAGAGAGAGGGAAAGGGAGGGAGAGAGAGGGGGAAACATAAGGAAGGCTCAGGATTCTCAGCAAAGACAGAGTGTCTGCTTATCTCTGAAAGAACGTGAGCAGAGACAACTGTCAGGGCGAATTATGAATAATTTAGCGCTGAGCAGGAGACCACGGCAGGCAAATGACGTCCCTCGCGTCAGAAGCTAAACCGTACAGCCGAACAGCAGGCTCAAAGCACAGACGTAAAGCCTTCAGCTCAAGCAGGAGTGATAGTTCGGGGCTGTAAACTGTTGTTTACGAGAGCGCAGGGGGACGCAATGAGCAGGTATTACAGAAGCAGAAACACTCCAAACACCCCCCTCCTTCCTTCACGCAAACTGAGCGAAAGAGTGGAAAAGAGGAGAGGACAAAGGCAGAGGCAGAAAACTCTCTCCTACTGGGACTTTAACGTTGAAATAGAAATTCTGCTTCGGCTCAGCGTTAGCCTGATGTCCACCGAGACGACAATTCCCAAACCGTCGCCACGGCAAATAAAATATGGAACGAGTGCAAACGCGAGCAAATAAACAAGAGGCACTGGAGACAACAGCAAGTCAGGTACTGAAGAGAAGGAACAGATTTAGAAGTGAAATGATTTTCTAAAGCAACAGGCTGAAGGATTCTATCAGCGAAGGTCGCTGTGCTCCTAAACCAGACGCAGGGGTGCGCGATATGACAAAAATATCATATATCTTCATATCTGAAGATGTTTCTACGATACCCGATATAGACCACGATATAAAGACTGGCAGCAAAACAGGGGGAAAAAAGTGAATCTGATAATGCAGTGGATATAAAAATGTTAAAATGGCAGGTTTTTGTGACGTAAAAAAGGAAACCCAAGATAAATCATCAGAACATTTTCCACCCTCAATGAGAAATTACGTATAAAAAATAAGTGAAAAGCAATCAGAGACATTTTAGGGTAAAATAGAAACAATAAAAAACTTTCAACAACCTGGTTTCATAAGTGTGCACACCCTTTTATAATTGGGGACGTCGCTGTGTTCAGAATAAACCAATCGCATTCAATCTCATGTGCAAAAGTAAACATCTGTGATCAATGACATTTTTCTGATTAACTCCAAATAAAGATCAGCTGTTTCTGTAGGATTTTCTTCACATCTTCTTGGTTTCATCTGACTTCTGAAGCCATGGTCTACAAAAAGCTTACGAAGCCTGTACAGGGTCCCACTGTCGAAAGATATCAGGAGAGGGGTATAAAAGAATTCCCAAAACACTAGATGTACCATGGAACACCGTGAAGGCCATCATCAACAAGTGGAGAAAATGGAGCACCACAGTGACATCTACCAAGAACAGGACCTCCCTCCAAAATTTATAAAAGAACAAGACATAAGCTTACCAGGGAGGCTGCCAAGGGACCTACAGCAACATTAAAGGAGCTGCAGGAATATCTGACAAGTACTGATTACTCTCTGCAACAATCTCTCATATTCTTCACACGTCTGGGCTGTGAGGCTATGTGGCTAGACGGAAGCCCTTTATCACAAAAAAAACCATCCAAGCGCAACTAAATGACCCAAAACCACTACGGTCTGATGAGACCAAAAGATTTAATAATTCCATAATTCCAAAAGGTATGTTTGATGCAAAAAAAAAAAAAACACACCACCAAAAGAACACCATGAACACCCACGGTGAAGGATGGTGGTGGCAGGACCATGCTTTAGGGATGCTTTTCTTTTGGTTTTTCTTTTGGTTACTGTTATGTAAAGCGGGTGCCAATAGTTTTACAGCATACTAACTGCATCATGCTGTACCATATTGTCCTGTTTAAAAAAAAAAAAAAAAAAAAAAAGTCCTTAAACAAGGTTTTGTCATCAATTTACCTTTTCCTACAATTCTAAAAAGAGGCAAAACCAAAAGTAAAGGAAAAAAAAGAAAAAGAAAGAAAGAGAAAGAAAAGCTGATACAGGGAGGGGAGAAAAAAAACGGTTAAAGCACTGGGGAGGAGTGCAATTACCATGGCGAGTGTTGGCTCGGCTCCTGTTCTCCCCCGAGACTCTGTCTGCTTTTTCAGGAGCAGAGGTGCTATTAGTGAAGGCGAGAAGGTGAGTTTAAAGCCCTCTGTGCGCGTGTGTGTGTGTGTGTGTGTGTGTGTGTGTGTGTGTGTGTGTGTGCGCGCGTGTGTGTGTGTGAGAACGAGGTTTTTAACCACTCCAGCACATTGGATTTAAAATGAAACAGGTTAAAGTGCAGCTGTAATTGGATGGTATTTATATCTATATGGAGTGAAGCCTATAGCACATGGGGCTGATTTTCTACAGAGAGGTATAGCAGGCGCGCGAAAGAGAGAGAGAGAGAGAGAGAGAGAGAGAGAGAGAGAGAGAGAGAGCATGAAAGTGAGATTAGCTCAGGGCCAGAGGGATGACACAGGTCAAGCATCTCATTGAGTGCTGAGTCGAGTGTTTAAAACCATCTTTCCTTCACACACACACACACACACTAGTGAGAGTTTTATATGGTGCGAGTGAGAGAATAGCTCTACACCTTCGAGGACTCGCTCGCTCCGCTGCTGTGTGAATGAGAGTTCTCCCTCTTTCCACATAACCGTTACATTAAACAGGACGTACTCTAGACACGTCCATCAAGTTGGATGGACTTGAGAGTTCTTTATGAGTTTATTAAGTCTTTAGAAATAACAGAGAGAGCAACAAAATCTCTGACTCTCATAAAAAAAATTCAATTCTAGCTTATAATAATATGGACAGATACTGTCTTAACACTTATTTAAACTTTGAAATATTAAAACTAGCAAAGCAATTGTTACCCGTGTAGATTTTTGGCATCGCTATAACCCACCATCCTCCTTTAATTTCATCAAACGGATCTTTAAGAGCGTCACATTTTGATTCAATTTCAGTTCAGGGTGTGATTTTAAATCGATAATGAAT